TCGGGCGTTAACGTAGTCGAGGCCAGGCGATCGAGGCTGGCATCGCGTGACCTCGTGCTTGGCGCGACGCGTTAGAAGGAAGGAGGACTACAGAGCCACTACAATTCTTTCATAGGGGACCTTACATGACTGCTATTGTCGGAAAGACCCCCATTAAAAATGAGACACCACACCCTGACTGTCAGTCCTGCGATGGACCGAAGTCGTGACTCTTAGCCCGTAGCGACAGACTCAAGCGCGTCAGATTTCTTGTAGGGAGGAATGCGCTGATGGAACTCGAGGATGGAGGCTCCTGTGTCCTTCTCACTCCCTCCTCCCTCTACCGTGGACAAGTCGGTTGTCCTAGCCTATCAACCAATCGGTGGTAATATTAGATGAGCTGACTGAAACACGCATACACGAAAATAATTGGGGCACCTATATGGGGGCTTAGCAAAGGGGTTGATTAAATAAGTTACCCCTTGCCACTGCGACGTTCGAGCCCTGGTTCCGTGGGGGAAAAGAATAAGAAAGATGCCCGGTGGAAGAAATAGTTTATTCTGTACAGAAGTAGTGGAGAATAGATAGGAGTAATTTGACTGTCGGACGAGCGCGCAACCACAACCGAGAGTGGCCACGTCCGAAGTATCTGAGCCTGATAGGCGTCACAGCAAGGTCCCTTGTCAGTCAATCTGTAGGAGGTTATTTGCCAGACCGGAGTAGGCAGTTATTAGTTATTATTCGCAGTGCTCGCGCGAAGTTTTCGGCTGGCCTCAGAGGCACGCCGAGAACTGCAATCGTGTGACCTCATGCATGTCATGGCATAGGGAAAGGCGCTACATGGTCAATATAGTCTAAATTGCGTTTGTGCAAAGCGCACTACAATCAACAGGCCCAGTCCCTTTTTTGGAGAGGAAGGGGAAGTACACCGGTAAACGTTGTGTATTGCTCAGTGGTGGCTTAAGGCCTCGACGCACGCGCGTCCAACCGCTAGAATGCTATAGGCGTGAGAGTGAGTCACGGGCCACCTGAACCCTTGATTGGCTGATAGCAATTTTAGGGCACCGGTGATTGGCTGTCCCAAAGGCAGCTCGATAACTGTGATCACGTGACCTCTTGCGTGGCGTGGATGTCAGAGGTAGAAAGCGCAACACTTCGCGGACTCAAGGCGCCCAAGTAGACACACGAAATGAATCATTCTGCTTAGCGTACTTGCATCATAACCCACTGAGTTGAGTAAAAAGGCCCGAGAGATGGAGGGCATCAGTCACACAGGTTGCCAACAATTAGTACATGTCTTTTGGCTCATTGTGCGAAATGGAAGTTAAATCAATTGTGTAAGTTTTTGCACGAGGGAGATCAAGTGCTGACTGTCTCCTCCGCTTCTTCCTTCGACCTACCGTTAGAATTTGCGCTCGGAAGTATTATATTCATGTTGGCCAGTCATGCTTATTAGTTGATATGATCGACTACGCGCTCGGTCATTGCAGTCTGATTTACTTTTCCGTTAGGATAGCAGAGATAAACTCTCATATATTGGCAAGTATAACCGTAGCATATAAAATTATCTCCGACCTCAAACTCTATACTGTTTTCTACTTACCTTCCTAGGAGTCCCGTGGCTACTACTTACCACATCTCGTGTTCAAAAGGTCTCAGTATTAGCAAATAATTTCAGTCAAGACAAGGCTGCATTTTCAAGTATTCATTATCGGTCCTTAATACTACGAAGTGAATTGTTCGGACAGTTGTAGATGCACGCTAGAAGGGAAAAATAGGGGTCCGAGGGGTTGCTCAGTGCTTAAGGAGGGACAGGGTTATCAAGTGGGGTAGGAATGCTAAAGGGTTCCCAGGCAGATTACGGAGCCAGACAAACGAAGTGAAATCGATTTCCTGGCTGTAATTGTGACCTGAGGTAAAGAACGCAAGAAAACTGGCTACCGTATCCATCCTCCATTCCGATGAGTGCTAACATGTGTCCAATAACCTCGGACTGCGCAGTGTGTGTCTTGTTGTGTGGCGTGGCTGACTAGCGGATTGAGAGTCAAGCTGCCAAGGTTCCTTCTTAATGTGGCCTTCAGGGCACTTCCACGTAAGCTGGAGCCCAGTCAGGTGTCTTTAAAGTGCGCCTTGAAGTGGCGGTCGCGCCAGCCACCGGCACCCTCCTTCCTATTCGGTCTTGACACCAGGTACTGGTGTGGGAGTGAGGTAGACTCTACGCGAGACTACTTTCAGTATAATCAGCGTGAATTACTGCGTTTGCCTTCAGA